GTTCCAAGACAGCATGAATTTTGGGTGTATGTTCTGGAATTATCTGTTACTTCATGCTCTATCCTATCTAAATCTATTTTTTTTGTGACCCAAATAAATTGATTCTCTCTATGTGACTGTCCATTTTTACCTTTCCCTTTAGCTTTTGTTCCATTCATTATAATAATGTTTGCTTCTTATGTAGGGTTCTTGTTTTCATCATGTCATCAGAGGCTTTATGTTACAAGGCGGGGACATTTCTACTGGAAACGGCAGTGGTGGGGAGTCAATTTATGGCTTGACATTTGAAGATGAAAATTTCAAACTCAAACATGAAAGAAAAGGAATGCTTTCTATGGCTAATTCTGGTCCAAATACAAACGGGTCTCAATTTTTCATCACCGCTTCTCAAACACATGTTCTAGATGGAAAGAATGTTGTATTTGGACGAGTAATCAGGGGTTTGGGGATGATTCGTGTAATTGAACATATTAAAACAAGTGAAAATGGTTTTCCTGATCTTCCTGTGATAATAGAGGACTGTGGAGAAATTCCAGAGGGTGCAGATGATGGCACAATTAACTTCTTTAAAGATGGTGATACTTACCCTGATTGGCCAATAGACCTTGACGTGAAACCAGATGAGGTTGCTTGGTGGATAAATGTTGTTGAACGTATCAAAGCCTTTGGCAATGAACATTTCAAGGTACTAGATTAATGTATATTTCCTGTTTGTTTCAAGTATACCTCGTGTTGTTATATAAGTTCACACATATATGTTTCCAAAAGTAAGCTTGGATTGATAGCTTTTTCTTTACATAAAATAAGATCTACTGCAAAAAATAACTAAAGAAATAAGATGAGCGAACAATGTAACACCATTTCTTCTCCACTTTTCTGTAGTTTTTTATTCATGGGCTTAGACTTTCTTTGAAAATTTTATGTATTTCAATATGTGATTGTATATCATCTTTGTATTACTCATGGGCAGAAGGAAGACTATAAGATGGCTATCAGGAAGTACAGGAAGGCTGTCCGTTATACCGACTTATGCTGGGAAAAGGACGACATTGATGAAGGTAAATTTTCTAAGTGCAGCTATAAATGACTATCTGATTTGCTTTCTCATAACTAGGACATCTTTCTGAAGGAATTATTTTCCTCATTACACAGTAAAAAGCGAGTATTTGAGGAAGACAAAGTCCCAGATACTTGCAAATAGTTCTGTAAGTTCTCCTGAATTCTCTTGCACCATTTGGTCTTACGGAATGATTTTCTTTCTGTTAGAATATTGAAGGCCTTAGTAGGACTTTCAGTTACATAATATAAGAACTATTTCCTGCTTTATGGTGTGAACATATCCCGAGGACGTAGTAACTTTCCTGAAGAAATCAGCTTTGTTAATGTTTCTTCCATATAAATAAATAATAAATAACCTTGTTTTAGTCTATACATTTTCGCCATCAATGTCTATTTACATTGAAGCTAAGTTACTCGGACTCCGCAAAATAGGTGCCGTAGTTAGGGTGTGGGACCTGTTCGGATCCGGTCAAACGAGATCGGGTGTGTTGACCAACAATTTAGAGAAGAAATTGAATTTTTGATATCTCAAAAGTAAAGATTTGAATAGATCGGAAACAAATGCCTTCAATTTTTCTGCTATATAATGATTTATACTAGTCCTTTGTGTCCTTTGAAGGTTTTTTCTTGATAAATTAGAGTAATATACCGTCAAGAAGTTTCTAGAATCTTCCATTTTATCAAAGCTCTCGTGCTTAGCACATGTTGGTGTATGAATTTGTGAGAGAGAAGGGATGCAGCGCCGTTTTGGAACTGAACTAGGGTTCTTCATCGTTTTGTTCTTAGGCTGCTTTGTTCTGTACGTGAATGGAGAAGAGGGGAACACGGGGTTTGGAGGAATAGGGTGTGGGCCAGATTTGGTTTTGAATGTTGGGCCAGGTCCATAACATGAGTGAGACCAAGTCCCTTGGAGTCTTCTAATCAAAATTAGAGTATTATTTAAATGAAAAATAATAACTTAAAATAGAGTATTATTGAATCAAAGTTAAACCAGGTCCCTTTGACGGTATATTATAAGTTTTCCTCACGTATGCATATTTAGACTTTGTTCTTGTGACTGTAGCATTTCCTTTTCTTTTGCTCCGCAAAATCTTCTTAACATTCTTGTTCAGGCCTGTAAACTGAAGATAGGAGATCTAACTGGAGCATTGATAGATGCGAATGATGCAATTTATGATGGAGAAGACAATGTCAAAGCTTTTTACCGCCAAGGCCAGGTTGGTGTGTTGAGCTATAATATAGTTCAAGTGGTTAGATTTCCTGACAAAAGAAAGCCTGACTTGATTTGTAGAAGGGCAGCCAACAGTGAATAGCATATAGAATGATCTACTGCACAACCACAATATTAAATGATAAAAAGCACCTGTAACATCATTCTCCTCAGTGTCCTTGGACTTAAAAGTCTTGAGTGTAAAGAATAACTTACAATGTACTTTCCTATCTTCATCTTCCATAGAGCTAAACAAACTTCTATTTCTTTTGCATTAAGATTGTCCACCGACCTTGTTTTTCTTTCTAGTCTGGAATGATTATTTTCTGTCATGATTAAGGTGATTGATTAGGCTTCACTAGGATACAAACTTTGCGCCTTAAGTTCCTTTCTCAAGCTTGTCTCACGTTTTATTAGTTCCTTTGGTGTTGGATTATCAGTTTGCTATGGAATTTAATTCAGTTAGATAAACACAAGTACAGCTCCTGTCAACTGCATGTCATGCATCCTCTAATCCATTGAACAGAACTTACACTTACTTTCAAACTTTAAATTTACACAAATGTTGGCATATGAATCTGAGACCTGAAGACCTTCTACTAATCCTCATCTTTATTCTCATTAAACAGCCCTTTGTATTATTATATTCAGGAGAAGCGTTTGGTCATAGCAATATCTCTCCTGTATTCTTCGAATCCCAAAGGAGGCAAAAAGACTAGATAATTTTTTTCCATCTGTCCAAGCCATGGTAGATAGAGTTACCCTGTACTTGCCTTAGTGGGAGGCGGTTGATATCTTATTGAATTAGTCAAGGTGTGGGCTATCGAGCCGGACACCATGGTTCTAAAATATTTTACTTGATGGTGTAGGATTACTGATTCACTTTTACCTTATTGTCTTCATACTTCACTATACGGAATCTTATACATATCCAAAACATTGAACCATCATTTTCTCTATTTCAGGTATATATGGCAATGAATGCTATAGATGCAGCAGCTGAAAGTTTTAAGAAGGCCCTGGAGTTAGAGCCAAACAATGGTTAGTGAAGTATAAAGAGTATATTTTTCTTCTTTGACATTTTAAGGGAAGAAACTCTGGCAAATGTTGAAGTATAAAGAGTATATTTTTCTTCTTAATTAACGCATGTGCTGCCGTTCCTTTTTTCCTTTTTCTGCATTATTTCCTGGGCTACCTGTATACTCTAAGTTGTATTAGATGATTCTCTGGAGCCAAACAAGGTTGCTGTCTTTAGCTGTGAATCTCAGGCTTAGTAACTTGGATATCCAAACTTGCATATAGAAGTCCTTTTCATCTGGCAATGGAACTTTTAATCCATAAAAGGAGAAGTAGCAGTTGAGAAAGCGTGTTCATTATGTTTTGCCTAAACTGATTATATAAAAGACTCAGAGATGCTCATAGAGTTCTCACTGGAATTTCCGATTTGTACCCAAAGTGTGGTACACTTCGCTCCAACCCACACTCCCTACCTCATAAAAGTTCACATTAAACTCTGTTTGACTGGTTATATTTTGTACGAATAAAGGAAATAATATTATTCACCTCTAGTCTTAGAGTATCAGCCCCGGTAACCTTTTCTTACATTTACTCTTTCAGGGGGGATAAAGAAGGAGCTGGCTGCTGCAATGAAGAAGGTTAGTCATTATCAGATCAAAATATTTGATCCAACATCTTCACATGAACGTAATACATGTTCTCTAATTTTCTTTCTCAGAAACTACTCGTTCTGTAGTTTCAAAAACTACATTTTCTTTAATTTGTTAACAATTATGACAGATTGCTTATAAACTAGAGAAGGAGAAGAAGGGTTATGCTAAAATGTTTCAGTAAAATTTCCAGTGGTATGCTGAACGCTTTTTCAAATTTCAACCTGCAATAATTTTTTCATTATCCAAAATTTATGATGCTCTGAGATATCAAATGTGGCTGCTACTAATGCTTGTTAGTTCAATCTGTTTGGCACAGTTCACAATAGAAGTATAGTGGTTCAGGTTAACTTTTGGGCCTCAAAACAGCTAGAATCAGGTATTTTGCGCCCACGTCATCTTCTCTCTCTATTTTAGCCTGTCAGATCAATCTGTTATGTCTTATCTTGTAGGAGTAAGAGAAACTTTGGTAGTTTGGTACATCAATTTCTTGTATATCCTTCCATCTCATTGATCCTTTTTTTCCTTTCTACATTTTGAGTTCTTGCAGGATTTGTTACTCATGGAGTACAAAAACGAAGGGTTTGTTCTCAACTTCTCATAGAGTACAAAAACTAACTGCGGTTATCAAAGTTTGAGCCGATTTCTCACTTGACTTTAATTCTGCTTATTAGTGGGCATTCTTCTGTTGAATACAAAATATATAGCCTGAATATACCTCAACGTGTTTTGTACAGAAAGTGAAAGGGAACTTAATGCAGGATAAAGTGTCTTTCCATTTATAATATAATGATATGGATGCCCCAAACTCGGTTATCTATGGCTTCCGCAAAAGTCCTTTGTCTCAGCTTACTTCAATATTTTTAACCTCTTGATGTGCAATACTTCTAGTACAAAGTCAGTTTCCTGGATTCATTTTTATCTTCCCGTGGACTTACTAGCAGCTGCAATTCAATTGTGCTGTTTTGCATGAATATATTCCTGCACGAGGCTCCTGTGATGTGCGAGCCAGAGCAGATTTGAGTACATGACATCTTAATGAAACAACAGTTCATAGGAGCTCATGAGAAAAAAAAACAGAAGTATTACATAAATTTTATTTTCTTCTTGGGATGTTTATTCTCATATTACAACATGGTTTACTAGTTAGGCGCTTAACTATTGAAGGGTAAAAGAATACAAATTAATCTTCTAATCGTCCAACAAATTGTGTGTAAAATTTCTGCAAGTATTTCGTTAGTTTATTCGGAGCTTCCTTTCCTCTGAAAGCAACTGAGCGAAGCGGACTATAGCAGCTTCGTTGGTGCCTTCCCCAACAACTGGTTCGTATCGGCCTGTTTCTAAGTTGACCCTTGAAATTGGCTTCTTCAATAGATCATTACCAATTTGTACCAGTGTCTCCATGTTTTGTGTCGTTGCAATATCCATAGATGCAGCCTCCCCTGTCAAATTGTCATCCTGTACCAATCAAACCAGAGAAGTGTTAGCTGATTTATTTTCAGCATGTATTTTGAAAATACTAAGACAAGCTCAGTCATTCTTACCTGAATCCTGATGTAGTTCTTCTCACTACCAAGGGTCTGAAACATGGTGGAAGTATGTATGTCTACCATATCAGCACTAGCATCACCATAAATATCTATCAAAGGGGTGGCACCATTGTTGTACACCCAACCTACCATCCCCCATCTGGAAGCCACTGTAGCATTATACTTCTCTTCTTGCTTGCCTATACCCGTGCCCAACGACAGAACCAACATTTTGTTGCAGTCCATATTCTTCATACCCTCGTATTGAAAGTTGCCCGTCATGATTTGTTTTGAAACGTATGTTATTGCCATTAAGGTCTAAGATAAGAGTCAAAAAGAATTGTGTCAATGTTGATATTTCAAAAAGAATAAGATACTATAAAAATTTAAACTTTTGTGGCTACTCACTGGATTATTTGCAGCTACACCTCCATCGACAAGATCAAATGTACGCGTTTTGCCTTGAGCATCCTTAGTCTCAAAACTGTGCACTGGGAAATAAGTGGGTGCGGCTGAGGTACTAAGGCAAACGTCTGATAATTGAGCATTCTTTGAGATATTTGCTTTTGCCTGTAGACAAATTAATTTTGAATAATTATATTAAATAAGAAGAAACTATATAAAATAAGATAAAGATAAAGAATGTTATTAGGATAGAAGTTTACATCAGCAGTACTGAAGATTATTGGTTGAAGACGTTTGATATCAAAAGTAGGTATGACTGTATTAGTCAACGTTTGCTTCATTGTAAGATTGCCTAATATTGAATTAATAATTGTTCTCAAGTATATGCCATCATACTTTGGTCCTCCAAACAAATTTGTGATCCTTCTCACAAAGCTGTTACGCCTGAATTACATATATAATGAAACAAACACTTGCCTTCAGTATTAAAGCATAAAATTAGAAAGAAAAAAGAGACAAACTCTATGAGTAATTAATTCACTGTTGTTGTTAACCTGCTTTGAGGAAAAATTTGAGGGCCATGTTGCATGTAGAAATTGGAAATATCTTTTGCTTGATATAAAGGACGATTATCCTTGTTAGGAGCAGTAAGCATAGTTGTTACTAATCCACCTGTGCTTGTTCCTGCTACTACATCGAAGTAATCTGCAATTCTTGCATTTGGTCCATCAAGTTCCTAGCATACACAAATAAATTCATGAGAAAAAAAGTAATCTACGAGTATTTCTTCTGTTTCAGTTTATACGACACATTTTCCTTTTTAATCCAACAGTTAGATATTTAATTTTTCCTGTTATATATAGTCATAGAAATGTCATAACATGCTTAAAATAATAAGTTCCAAGTATATATGGCGAATATCTTTCTTTTTACTTGTACTGATCAGCGCGTATAGTCAAATAACTGTCATATGAAATAAAACGTATGACGTATATATGTAGCATAGGTATACCTGAAGTTTAGATTCAAGGAAGGCAAGTAGGGTTCCAGGAATAATGCCTCTAATACCACCTCCATCGATACTCAAAACGGTTACCGTCTTTCCTTTGGTGGCGGCAGAAACTACTAATGGAGGTTGTAAAACTTGAAGGGTTACAAAAAGAGTCATTGCTGCAGCTATAAGAACCATCCTCCCCATGTTGAGTTATTACCTAACAAAAAAGAGTTTTGTGTTTTTGATATTTGAAAGAGAAGGGGAGAAAAGTGTGTATTGTTATGTTAAAAGAAAGTTAAAACCTAGTGATTCGTCTCTTTTGTAGGAGGCAAGTATTTATAATACTAATATTAGCCCATTGCCTATCTTGGCTGCGTAACAGTGTTAGCCTAGGTGACTTTATCAAAGTCTTTTTTCTCTTGTCCTTACTTTGAATGACTACTTTTTCTTGAGGAATTTTAGTTACTTTCACATGTTATTTTAATCTTCCAGTTTTGTCTTTATCGTTATGAGTAATATGAGTCTTTATGTATCTTTTATCTCTTGTATTTGGATTTTTGGAGAATTTCAAACGTGTGAATTCGTCCTCTGGTTATATTTATTTTTAATTTACGGTTATACTAATTTTATTATAAAAATTAACTTTTAAAAAATAGATTTATGATATATCTATCACTTAAATTTATATTTGGTTAAAAATTTCTATAGGGATTTTCACCAAACTAAGTCATTATATAAAGCCATTCACCAAAATAATATGTTTTTCTATAATTTTACAGAACTAGTATAAACGTATTCCATAGTAACGTTTTAGAATATATTTTATTTTTTAAAAGTTGATGGCGTCAGATTGATATACGTTACTCACAGTAACGTTTTACTCCTAAAACGCTACTCATAGTAACGTTTTAACGTTTTACTCCTAAAACGTTACTTACACGTATATCAACCTAATGCTGTTATTTTTTTTAAAAAAAATATACCCTAAAACGTTACCGTGAAATACGTTTATACTAGTTTTATAAAATTTTAGAAAAAAATATTACTTTGGTAAATTATTTTATATAATGACTTAATTTGATTAAAAATTCCGCTCTTAATTATTATTAGTTAAATGTAAATAAAATAAATGAAACACGTGCTTGCTCGTGAATTAAATATTTTTTACTGCCTATTTATTGCAATAACTTATATTGGAAGTGTACTATTTGAAGTGATAAGGAGGAATTTTGTCGGAAAACGAATATCTTACAGAAAGAAAGTTAGTGGGAGTTTACACACAATCCCACTTCTACTATTCTTTGTTCTGAATTGGACATCCCACTAATTACATTTTTTCAGACTTTCACATATATATCTCACTAATCACATTTTTTCACCTTGACGTATTTGAATAAAATAATTATAACGTGGTCAGGTATGGTAATTTCGTTTAAAATTAATTATTATTCATCTTATAATATAGAGCCTGGTCATTCATGAGCATTATTTATATTATATAATGCTCCCTTTGTCTAGAAATGTTTGTCATGTTATTTTTATCGAAAGTCAATTTTTTTAATTTTTAAAGGTAAATTATATCACATTAATTTGATATTTTAAATAAAAAAAAATAGATATTCTAAAACTATATGAAAAGTAGTATAAATTATAATTTTTTGCATATTAATATGATTAAAAAATGCATCTTAAAATGTTAGTTAAAGTTTTTACAATTTAACTTTAAAAAATAAAAATTATGACAAATAATATTGAACGGAGAAAGTAATATATAATAATAGAAGTTTGACATAGTGGTATAACGTAACAACCCAATGGTCCAACTTTTTTTTTCTCACTCAACGCGTCAAACAAGAAAATGGGACCAGAATGTTCCAATCAAAATTACTAGCTAGCCCCCAAACTTGATTCAAGTGAAAACTCGTTTTGATAATCATTGACGATGAATATGTTTTTATTTTATTTAAAAATTTAAATTAATTTTATTTTTTAATTTAGACTCAATACGAAGATCCAATAATTTTCCTTATCAAATCAACGATCACACCAACTACGAGATCATGCTCTTTTGACTATTATAAATTGAGAAAATGTTGAACTGTTGTCCAAATGATCAAACGCAGCCATCAGCCACTTGATTCCAACTTGTACAATTATAGTTAATTGATGATCCAATTAATGATCAACGAAGCGATCCACGCTTTTGTTTTTGTTTTTATTTTTATCTTCTTTTTTTCCTGTTCTCGTTTTGTTTATTCTTATTCTTTGCACAAACAAGAAAAAAGTGACTGCATGTACAATGTCTCGTTCCAACTTAATTGAAAATGCTTAATTTTAAGATAATTGAGATTCTGAAATTCGAATTTCACAATCCAATTTTTTTGGATGTCTATGATAAGTTTTCATATTTGGCATATTTCAATCATATGATTCAGAGAATTAAGATAGCTTTCATATTTGTCATAAAGTTTGAATTCAAAAAAGGAAGTTAAAAATACAGTGGCCTAAAAATTTTGAAGATTGACACCTTAAACAAGGGCCCATATATATTTGTATACCAAAATGTTACACTGCGAATTTTTCAATAACTTTAGAACAACGGCCCATAAATCTCCTAATTTGGTTTAGCCCAAATAGGTACATTGAGCCAATTCAGCTGAACGAATCTAGTTACAAATTCTAGGTTCATTTTAGTTTTTTACTTTTGAGTTTTGGTTTTGGCGAACCAAAACTGAATTTATTAATTCGTTCTTCCTCTTTCCACAGTAATTTGTTTCTCTAATTTTTAGGTTTTGGTTTCTAGTTATTAAACAATTTCCTCTATTGCATGGCTGTTTCTAATTTTTTCGGTTTCAAAAACAGCATCTAGAATCTCTTTTAGACATCTATCATGCTAGACTACTTGTGCTGATTTGAGTTTTGGAGTGGGGTGTTTTTACCATTGGATTGATTTTGTTATTTGAACTACTCTCGATTTTAGTGGCGTAGCTAGAATTTTTATGAAAGTTGTCCAAATAATATATGAATAATTTTTTATATTTTTTGATGAATAGATGCATTGAAAAAATTAAAATTGAACGTAACAATAATATTTTTTTTTACTAACAAATGTTCCAAAAAATTTTTAAAATCAAACTATATGATGTTTAACGAGATATAAATAATGAAAGCAAAGTCAAATGAGGTGTTCTTTTGTTAGCTTTTTTTAACAACTTTATAGAAAAAAATTCATTTTTTTTATTAACTTTAAATTAAATAATTACATACAAATTTTAATGAAAAGTAATAAAAATTCAAAGTAATTGAAAATTCAATTAGCTACTAAACTAGGGGTGTGCATCAGTCGATTCAGTTTGATTTTTCTGTTCGATTTATCGGTTTTCGATTTTTAAATATGGTAACCCAATAACAAATCAATAAGATATTTTTTATCATCATCGGTTCGATTTTCGATTTACCCAATAAAACATGGCCATAAAATATTATATGTCTTCTCACTTTTCTAAATGCTTTGATATAGTGAAACAAGAAAAATAATGAGAATTGCATCAATAAGAGAAAGTATAGTACGAAGTCTATAATTATATATTACCACCAAAACATAGTAAAAGGTTGTTTATGTTGATTTAATTATGGACCTTTACAAACTTGCAAATACTACAACCTATAATTACAAACTAAATCTAAAATAAAACAGTTCAACAAGAGTAAAACTAAAACTAAAGCTAAAATCAAATAATTACAATTGTGAATCCCTTACTTTAATCTTTAGGTTTTGAGTAAACAATATATAAAAACTAGTAAAGCGATCTAGTGTGAAGTTGATAGAGTACTAACAGTTTGATAAAGTTGTAATGTTTAATTATATATTAAATTATTAATATTTAATAATTAAGAAGGGTAAAATAATCAATTATTATCATTTTATTGGATTATCTGTTTACCCAGTAACCCAATAATAAAAATCGATACCAAATCAATAACCCAATAAATTATTTTATAAACCCATTAAAACTCAATAATAATAACCCAATAACATTTTTTTATTTGATTTTTGTACATCCCAATACTTAATATAAATTTCTAATTAAGAATGTAATTTAATTAGGTTAGGCAATTAAAGAAATAAGTCAATAATGAACAATAAAATACGAGTGTTCTATTTAAAAATGATTATAAAATGCACTTGTGTGGGGATTCAAACTTGTGCCTTCAAAGTAAAGCAAGAGAGTCTCACACCATTAGACCATAGCATCTTGATATGTTCAAAACATCCAATCTATTAACTTTAACATTTACCAGTAGCATTTTATTTATATATACGGTATAATTTTTCGATGAAGGGTTTCCAATTGGACACTCTAGAGACAGTACAACTCCGCCCCTGCTCAATTTTGGTCTCAAAATCAAGCAAATAATAGTAAACGGATCCAATAAGTTTTTCTAGTTCGGAGTTTGATTCGTTGTTTTGTTTTTCTTTTGCATGAATGCCCTACTGAAATTTTGATTGCATTCTTAGCTTGAGATATTATTCAAGTTTTCGACAATTCATTTTTAGATGATGCACCAAAAAAGAACATGTGCATAATTTGTGCACTTTAGTTCAGTTTGGATTTTCCTCTTCTCAAATTGAAACAGATAATTTTAGTTTGGTTTTAAGAAAAAAACCAAAATCGAGTTATTAAACATTACCATAGTTCGATTTGATTTTTCCTCTTCTTAAACCAAAGAAAATAATTTTAATTATGTTTGGTTTTTAGTCTTCTTAAACCGAATAAGATAATTTCAGTTTGGTTTTAAGGAAAATTAAAATCGAGATATTAAATATCACTATAGTTCGGTTTGGTTTTTCCTCTTCTCGAATCAGAGCAAATAATATCGATTTAGTTTGGTTTTGTCTTCTCAAACTAAAACAGATAAAAACTGTATGATTCTAAGGAAAAATCAATTGAGTTTTTTTATATAATAATTGTGGTTCTGTTCGATTTTTCCCTTCTCAAACCAGAGCAAATAGTTATGGTTTAGTGTGATTATTCTTCTTATCAAACCAAAGCAAATAATTTTGGTTTGGTTTTAAGGAGAACTCTAAATCGAGTTCTTAAATATAACTAGTGTTGTTTGGTTCGGCTTGTTGTTTCCTCATCTCGAACTAGATAGATAATTTTGGTTGGGTTCGGTTCATCCTCTCATCAAACTGAAACACATATTTTCGGTTCGATTATAACGAGATATCAATACCTGAGTTATTAAATATGATAATGACGATTCAGTTCGATTTATCATCTTCCCAAAATGAACATATGATTTCAGTTCGATTTT